ATTGCTGTAATTTTAAATTATTTACCAAAATTGGGATATAACTAGAGCTCATTGCAGCATAATTTTTCCATTTAAACAATGACATATCTATATATGGGGGAATATACTTTACATCTGACTTTTCTCACACTGATTAACACTCTTGCTGCTGTAACTATCTAGCCCAGAACACACAGGACCTTTCCAATTAGTACTGCTGTTTCTCCTTCTGAATAAGTCTACATCAATGAGAACCCCAGATGTGAGTGCTAGAAAGTGTGTTCCAGGGCAGCTGTAGCAGTAATTCTGCTCATGAACTCTCTGAGTTCCCCCTGCCTCGATCCTCCTGCCTCTTCTCTTCCCCACCTCTATTTCGCTTCCTTGGTGATACCATTTAATTTCATGGTACCAAATGCCAATTTTTATAATGATGATCTTCCAAAGTTTATCTTCCACCAAAACCGCTTCCTGATTATTAAACTACCTCCATAAACCTCTACCTGGATGCCCAATAAGTGTTTCAAACTCAGCACGTAAAAGCTAAACTCCTGAGCTTCTGCCCCAATCCACTCTCCTCATCTTCTCCATCTCACTGAATGAAAAACAAATCTGCATAGATATTCAAGACAAACATTCTGGGGAGTAATCCTCATTCTTTTTTTCTTACATCACACTTTGAATGTATCAGAAATTCCTCTGGTATCTGACCACATATCATTATCTATGCTGCTACCCAAGTCAGCACCATCTCTAGCCTGGATTATTGGAATGCCCTTTAATAGGTGTCCTTGATTTCATCCTTGTCCTCCTACAACCTATAAGAGTATCCAGTGTGATCCAGTTATAAAAATGGTAGATTATGCTTATCTTCTGCTCAAAGGTGTTTTATATATATGTGTGTGTTTTATACATCTAGTTATGTATATATAGCTATATATACACATCTAGTTTTATACATTGTATACATTTTATACTTTTATACATTTATACATTTTATACATTTTATACTTTTATATACCTAGTTATGTGTATATATAGTTATATATAGCTATATATATATTTCAGCATAACATATACATATTGTAGTATTTTATATAGAGAGAGAGAGAGCAGTATAACAAATTATTCTTAGTGATATCCCAATTTTGTTAAATAATTTGAAATTAATAACTTCTCTCTTACAACAAATGCAAATGTCTTATAATGGCCTAAGGAGCATTAAAAAATGGGCATCATTACCTTTCAGATCTCATCTTCCCCAACAGTACTGCCAGAAGAATATAACGTGAGCTACATGAAAGAAGTACAATTTTAAATTTTCCAGTAGCAACATATATATTTCCAGTATAAAACAGATGCAATTAACTTTAATAATCTATTTTATTTGACATAATATATTCAAAATATTGTTTTCCAACATTTAATCAATACCAATTGCATACAATATAGTTTAGGTTTTTCTTTCGTTACAAAGTCTCTGAAATCTGGTGTGTCATTTATGTGTACAATATACCTCCATTCAGGCTAGCCACATTGCAAGTGCCCGATAGCTCTATGTGGCCAGGGACAGTGCAGTTTTTTTTTTTTTTTTAATTTATTATACTTTAAGTTCTAGGGTACATGTGCATAACGTGCAGGTTTGTTACATATGTATACTTGTGCCATGTTGGCATGCTGCACCCATCAACTCGTCAGCACCCATCAACTCGTCATTTACATCAGGTATAACTCCCAAGGCAATCCCTCCCCCCTCCCCACTCCCCATGATAGGCCCCGGTGTGTGATGTTCCCCTTCCCGAGTCCAAGTGATCTCATTGTTCAGTTCCCACCTATGGGTGAGAACATGCGGTGTATGGTTTTCTGTTCTTGCGATAGTTTGCTGAGAATGATGGTTTCCAGCTGCATCCATGTCCCTACAAAGGACACAAACTCATCTTTTTTTATGACTGCATACAGTGCAGTTTTACAACAACTTCTCAGTGCCTCTCACTAGAGCAGGCATGCTCCCACCTCTAGGCCTCACAGACCTTGCTCTTCCTTCTATCTGTAATACTCTTTTCTTGGAATCTCTTCATTGTTCTTTCCTTCACCCTTTTCAAAACTTTGTTCAAGTGTTTTCTTTTTAGTAAGATCTTGCCTGTCCACAACATTCAATTCCAACCTCTTCCAACTATAACATTTCCTATCAGCATTTCTTGATTTATTTTCTCCATTGTATTTAACACATTCTAGCAAATTACATAATATCACGCACACACGCAGGTTCTTACATCAGATTTAATATGACACTAAGCTCTCATGCAACTAGACTGGTAGGAAGTTTCATTACATTATTATTATTGGAGCTCCTTCCTTCCACTCCAGAGTTGTATGGAAGTCCTGGGAATGATGGTAACTCATAATGTATTAAATTGATTCCAGAGCTGCTTTGCTACAATTAGGTACAGTTGACCCTGCCAACTTGGGGCCCTGGTGTCTACAGTCTACAATCGCTGAGTTCATTTCCTGGGTTCCCAGGTTCCCTAGGAATCAGGTCTGTCCTACCTCCCTAGATTTCTGCACCAATTTTCCTTACTCAGAGAAATTCAGGCCACCATCTTCTTCCTAGTCCTTGACAATTTCCCCTAATGTTTTCCTATCACCTCTCCCAATGCTCACGGTATTTGCCTCTTTCTCTTCCCCTTAACGTATCTCTTTAGTGACTTTAACTTTAGGAAACAACATCCTTGTCTGAAGGAGAGTGAGGATTGGGCCGGGGTGATCATGATGGATGGTGGACAGGACTTACAGGCAAGCTTTAAAATGGAAACTCTTCAGTCAAAAGCCTGATTATCCCCTCTTGGACTGGACAGGGAGGGATGGGAGTAAAAATACAGTAAAAATAAGATCTGCTAGTATTGTAACAAAGTCTTGACATAACCATAAGTAAGAATTGTGGGAGATTTTAGAATATTTTGATTTTTTAATGATTCATGTTTTTGTTATACCTATTTATTATCAGGAAAGCCTCCAAATTAAAACCATTTCAGTAATACTATTTTGATGGCAGGAAAATAAGGAACCTGGAAGTAGTGTCACATGGTAGCAGCATACAACAGGAACTATAAAAATGTATGCATATAAATATACATGGGTACATACAGATATACATACAGGTTTTGAGAAGAATGGAACCCAAAGAAATGCTTTTACACTGTTAGTGGGAGTGTAAATTAGTTCAACCATTGTGGAAGACAGTGTGGCGATTCCTCAAGGATCTAGAACCAGAAATACCATCTGACCCAACAATCCCATTACTGGGTATATACCCAAAGGATTATAAATCAGTCTACTATAGAGACACATGCACATGTATGTTTATTGCAGCACTGTTCACAATAGCAAAGACTTGGAACCAACCCAAATGCCCATCAGTGATAGACTGGATAAAGAAAATGTGGCACATATACACCATGGAATACTACACAGCCATAAAAAAGGATGAGTTCATATCCTTTGCAGGGACATGGATGAATCTGGAAACCATCATTCTCAGCAAACTAATACAGGAACAGAAAACCAAACACCGCATGTTCTCACTCATAATTGGAAGTTGAACAATGAGAACACATGGACACAGGGAGGGGAACATCACACACCGGGGCCTGTCATGGGGTTGGGGGCTAGAGGACGGATAGCATTAGGAGAAATACCTAATGTAAATGACGGGTTGATGGGTGCAGCAAACCACCATCACATGTGTATGCCTGTGTAACAAACCTGCACGTTCTGCACATGTATCCCAGAACTTAAAGTATAACTAAAAAAAAAAAAAAAAAAAAAAAAGAGTAAGAAAATGCTGTACAAAGAAAAGGGAAGCAAATAGATGCTCAAGAGAAAAGGAAGTCTGGAGGATGAAGAAAGCAGAAATCTGGGGAAAGAATAAACAAAAAACCTGATTTCTGGTTTGGGAGAGGGGAGGAAAAAGGAAGGACATTGCATGAGACGCCAAGTCAGGGCCAGGAAGAGTTTCATGAAGGAGATGTATTGCAATGACCTATGTGCCATACACTGCATTTTGAGGATACTGAATTGCTTGAGATCTCACCACTAAATAACAGAAAGGGAAAAAGTGAAAAACTTTACGGGCTATCTCCTCTGTGCTAGGTAATTTTGCATACAATAGTCCCTTTCATCTTCACAATAGCACTATAAAGTAGGGGAGATTAATCTCATTTTCCAGTTGAGGAAAGAGGGTCAAAATGATGGAATACTGTGCTCGGGATCACGCAGCTATTCAGTGTGGACTCAGGGAAAGAAGGCTTGCATCCAACCCTGGGTCCTGCATTCTTGCTACGGCCACTCCTCCGACTGCACGCCCTTGTAGGAGTTACTTACTTTTCCAGACAGATCCCCAAAATACATCTTCTGCTCCACATTGGAAATATCTCTTTACTTCTGAAGCCTTATTTTTTCACTTTATTTTTTATGCTTAAGCTAGACAATCAATAACGATTTAGTGAATAAGTGAAAAAAAAAGAACCCATGTACATAGGTATGTGTCCATTCTGCATCATTTAGTTCAAACTATAAGATCTGACAGTAGCAGCCTGTAAACATAACATGCATACTACTCATTTAAAAATATACACAGCAATCCAGGTAGCATGACTTCTTAAAGGCAGGGTCCCCTCACAGGGCAGTATATGCTAATCAGCAAAGCAAAATCAGTACTTTGAACAAATTGAACATATGCATGAAAAACGTTTCTAATTTTTGTATTATTAAGATTTTATAAGATACGTAATGATTCTTTGGCATACTTTGTTACAATGCTCGTTAGAAAATCTGCAAAAAAGGATTAAAATAAATCTCAGATGTCAACACAATCTCCTGGGCAATTCTTCACTAGACCAAACGATGCCATCCACGACTGCATTATCTATGAGGCTGAGAATGGCTAATGAGGCCCATCGATTGTGATAGAGCCTGCACTGCACTCAAAGACTTTTTCTCTCTTCTCCGCCATAGGCTGTACTTACCCACTCCTGCAGAGAGAGCCCAGCCTTTATAGTTGAAGGCAAAGGTGAAAATAGCCAGTGTTGTGTGAGCTGAAAGACTTCACACTTCAAATAGTCCTTAGATTGTAGGGAAAATCCTCGTGGCGAATCTTTTTTCATGATGGCAGGGATTCATATTTGCCAGGCACAATGGAGAGTACCTGGCACGAAGCTGGGAGCTGAAAAAATGTATACACATAAATATGCATAGACACATACAGAGATATATATACACACACAAACACATGTGCACAGATAAACTAATATCATCAAATAGATACTAGAATTTTGTTGATATCACCAAAAACCCATCATGTACCTCCTAGTCATCCTCTACCTGAGCATTTTTCAGAAATTTTGAACAGTATGATTTTTTAACACTATTTCCAGCTCCTGTATTCAGTGGCTTGTTTACTTTGTTACTTTCAGCCTCCTACTCTGGTTTGAGATGTCTCAAAATAGCATTCCAGTTATTTGTGTTTTCATCTATAGTTATTTTCTCAACAAGGGTTTTTTAAATTCCTATGTATTTAAAAAAATAACTTGAAAAATGATGCAAAATTCTGCAATGTATTCTTAGAAACAAGTAAAGATGCAAATATATCACCAGTAATATGGAGGCAGAGTGATTTGAACACAGCAGAAAGGAGTATTAATTTCAGTCCTGCCACCTACCATCTGAGTGAATCGTGACAAGGTTTTTGTTGTTGCTTTATTTACTTGTTTGCCTTCCTGGTCTTCAGTTTCTCACAAGTATATATGAGGAATTGGATCCTGTGCCCTCCAGCATTTTTTGAAACTCTGAATTTCCAGGATTCTAGGAAACTTATCCTAACCAAATTTGTGTTGGCATGACTGGCTTTAGAAAAGCATAGCCAGTAATTGGTGATGGGTCTGACTACAAAGAACAAGGGCAGAATGAGCTAGACCCCACCTCATAATCCTTAATGAGTCCACCTGTATGATTAAGAGCAATCCTTAATGAGTACATCTGCATGATCAAGAGTAAAGGTGGGTAAATCTGACTTCTCCCATATATAGTTATGGAAACTACAAGTCACTTTATCTCTTCAATCATTCATAGAATGGAGAAACAAAACCCACCTTCCCAACGCTTAAAGCATTAGATAAAATGTAAGTGTAAAGCATTTACAACCATACCCAGAACATTGCAGGGTCCAGTTGATAGTTTCTACTAATGTTCTTATCAGAAAACTTTCAAACGATAGAGCAGACAAGAAATACACAGGATGGGAAAAGAGACTTACCAAAAGGAGATAATTGATCCAAGTTAAACAAAAAGGTGTTTATTCCCTCTTTAAATTGTTCTTGAAATTTGCTAAGACTTGCATCATTGTTTAGAAGATTTGAACCCCAGAAGTTGTTTCATGCCAGCTCAGGTGGTAGATGAAGGCAGACCTTTCAAAAGATTAGATTTACAAAAAACCACATTGGTCTTTATCGTCCATGTTGTTCTTCTCTCTAAAGTCTTAGGAAGTATAATAGTATTGATCAGACAAGACAAGAGCCTGGCCTACCATAATCAAACAATAACCTTTGATTTATCCACCTGGAAAATGTCCATGGAAACTATAAAGGAGAGTGTTTTGGGTCAAAGAGTACGTTTGGTTTCATGTTGAGAAAACTACCCCTATTACCTTTTATTTCCTAAATAAAGAGCATGGTTGCTTTGTACAGTCATGGTCTCAAAGGCAAATCTTTTGTTTCAGAGGTTGAATGGGCTATTTCTCTACATGTCTGATTACATGCCGTGCATCTCAAAGCATATTGACAATTTCATTATACTGAGTGCAGTAATCCATATCAACAGCTCATCCCTGTTTTGAATTATAAAATGAAGGAACTTAAAAAGCCAGGTATAAGCAAACTTATCTGCTTCTAGTCCTTCAGGGACTGGACTAGGTCCAAAATTAAACAAGACACAGGGTAGCTTTTTAAATTTAAACACTTCCTAAAATTGTTTTTTCACCAAAAGTAGGCCACCTAAAAGATTAAAAGCTCTCTCTTTCTTTCTCAAAAAAAAAGAGTAAAAAAACACATAATTACACTCTAATTTAAAACTCTAATTGAATGCTCTTGTGTTCATAAGATGTTCTACTTTCCTTTAGGGACAATATTCTTATTAGTCACACAAGCTGTCTAATCATTTAAGCGCAAGGCTTCTTCAAACCATATACCTTTGTTGCAAAGCAAATGAGAAAGTGCAGTGCTGTCTTTTTTTCCTCAGTGTCTCTCAATTATGTACTTAGAAAAGCAACAATCAAATACTCAGGCTGAATAAAAAGATACCTACTGGACTAGCACAGGTCTAAAGACAACTGAGGTTAGTGCTGTCTGTATTTTTAAGACAGTACTCTTCCTGGTCTACATTTAAAGATTTAAAGATTATAAAAAGACAAACAAACAAAAACAAAACAAAAAACAAACAAAGCACTCATGAATAAAGGACAAGGCAACTTGGTTAGGGAGGCAGAAAAGCAAACGCTTGAACACTTCGGTTGACTTTGGAATCTGGGAGACCCATGTTCAATCTCAGGTGAGTTACCTGAACTTCTGAACCTCGCTATCTATAAAAGAGAGGTAGTAACAGCATCTCTCAAAAAGGGCTGGAGTAAGAATTACAGGAGATAATATGTAACAGTGATTTTCACTGTTCAAAGTAAGCAATGGATGTTCAATATCATCAGCAGCATAATTAAGAAATCATTTTGCAAGTGTGAAATATACAACGTTTAATTTTCTCCTGCTCCCCCTTTCTCTCCATATGCAAAGGCATACAGGGAAAGGGGGAAGAAAACTAGTATTTACATAGAGTGTTGGCCATGTTCCAGGTACTTTACATAGATCATCTCAACTAGTTGTCATGACATCTGCCTGGGATAATGTTCCTTTGAGGGATGAGGAAACTGAGGCTAAGACAGAGACACAGAGACAGAAAGACAGTGGGACAGAGAGAGAGCCTGAAACCCAAGTCTCCAGTGCCCAGCCCATACTTATTCTACTATAAACGTTCACATGCGCACCTATTAACACACATGCACATGTGTGTTAACGCACATTCCTGAGACAATCTGGGAATTTCTTTAAGTGGTACTCATAGGCTTATACAGCCTGAGTACAGTAGCTTTTCTATTGACATCTAATCCTCAAAACAGTCTCGTAAAGTTTTATTATTATCTCTATTTCATGAATTAAACAACAGAAGCTCAGTGCATAATTAATATAAAAAGGCAAAAGCTATTGCGTTCTGGATTCAGGATTAGAACTGAGATCTGTTTGACACCAAAGTCCAGGTAATTTAAAGTCCAGGTAATTTCTCCTATATAAGGACAACTTCTGATGAGAAGCAAGAGTTGTTTGAATAGAAACCCTTCATTAAATAGAAAAATTTACTTTTTACTCTCTTAAAATATAAAAGATTTCACTCTCTTTTGGGAAACTGGTTGTCTCATGGTGAAATTTTTCTTGCAGAATAAAAGTGATGAAACTGGCTCTCTTTGAATTAGGTGAAAAGAATGAGTACCTTGGACGTGAGCATTCTGCTGGCTTATTTCTTGTGCATTACGGCATTCAACAAAGAAGAGAAAGGTCCTATTTGATTTTAGCAAAATGTGGGATCCATGCAGTTCATTTGTAAGCTTCCTTCCTGTAGCAGCTCCCATTCACACAGCGAGGTCACAGCGTTGGTGATCTGAATGCCCACACCTGCAAGGTGAACTTTAATATATCACATATTTCAACTGTGAGATTTCAAATGAAGCCTGTTGTGGGCTCTGTGTTTCCAGACAGCTCATAGATCCCTGTCTAAAAGCACTGAGTATAGCAATGAGCTTATGATGGTATCTCAATAAATTTCTGTGGCGCCAAAGAGAAAAGCCAGAGTCTTTTGTTGATAGCATAACAGAATGGACAATATTGCCTAGAGAAGGCTACCATTTGGAAGACGTTCAAGGAACCAATCATGGATTGCCTGAAACAAATACAATCATGAATATCAATTGTCATTAGTTCTTGAACTGGCATCTTGGTAACCAAGTAGCTTAGACCAAAGCCATCTTACAGAGATTTCCACAACGCTTAAGATCCCAGAAACAAGATTTTGAGAGCAGACATTAAGATGCAATAATAAATTAGTTATTGCATATTAGCATAAAAAGGTTTAAATTTTTATCTTTTGTATAAGGATAAACTATCAGTTAGGAGGTACAACAAGAAAAAAAAAAAAAAAAGCCAAGATGAGCTAAATACCCAAACATGAATTGGCTTTAAAAAATTCTAGCTTCAATATACAACTCTTACTACTTTGAAATGTAAAGGTTTTAACCCTAAAAATCATCATTTTGATTTTAAAAATGTAGTGCCAAAAGGTCTTAACTAAAAAACATTATCTGGATTCAAAATTTAAAGGTTTTCACAGGAAACAAAGTTAATTATACACAGTATGCTGAAAGTATGTCTTAATTATGATTCAGTTGTTTAAATGAAAGAAATACAAGTCTGAAAATTATCACTTTTCTAATTCCAAATTCCCACTGGAGTTTCTAGCAGTTCTGGATCCCACATCCCAAAACACCACCAAAACTGCTTAAACACATGTACATACATACACCACATCTAGGTATATTGAAAGAGCACAAATGTCCTTAAATGTGTAAGAAACACAGTCATATAGAAAAATACACAATACACATACACACACACGTGCCTCTGAAGTGCCACCATTCATTCTAAAAGGCTATAGGGTCAACTTGACAGTCTTTGGCTTGGTTTAGGTATGCAGTAGGTCACTACCCTGGTTCTGGTGCTCATGACCCATTGCCTAGGTTGCAGCAGCAGGTAGTCCACCAACCTACTGCAAGAGATAACTTCCTAAGATGCAAGTTGTGAATGACAGTCTTCTCAAAAGCTTTCCATGGGTCTCCTTTGTTGGCAGAGCTATGTCCCATTTCTATTTTATGACATTTATGGACCTGAAGGGACTAGTAATAGTTTAGCTCTATATTCCTCAAAGTATGCATTGCCTAGAAAATCCAGGCAGTACATCTTTTTCCATTTTTTTCAAATTTTTAATTTTTGTGGGTACATATGAGGTGCACATAATTGTGGGGTACATGAGACGTTTTGATACAGACATGCAATGTGAAATAGTCACATCATAGGAAATGGGATATCTATTCCCTCAAGCATTTATTCTTTGTGTTACAAACATTCCAATTATACTCTTTTAGTTATTTACAATGTAAGATTAAGACTATAGTCAACCTGTTATACTATCAATAGTAGTTATTATTCTTTCTACCTATTTTTTGTACACATTAACCATCCCAGGCAGTACATCCTGATGAACAGTTGTACTATATCAAAACCAGAGATACCTCCACAGCCTCCATTGCTGCCCTGGAGATATGGATTGTGATTGGGTTGTTGAATGAAGGAGCCAGACCTTACAATCTATGGCTGAAAGTATTCCAGCTGTATTTCATTAATTTGCAAGAATCATCTATGGAGCTATTAAAAATATAGATTCCCAAGTTTTGACTCTTCCCCCAAAGGTTCTGATTTGTTAAGTCTTGGAAAGAAGCCAGGAATCTGCATTTTTAAAAGTCCCTGGTCTTTCTGATGCAGCCAAGCAGCAATTTCACATTTGGAGCCATACATAATTTATTTTCCTCATTTTATAGGTATAAAAACTGTGAGCCAGAGTAGTAAAGTGACTTGCCAATGATTAGTCAGAAAGTTGCTGTAAACCAGAACTGGAACCCAGGTCTCCCAACTCCCTGTCTTCCCTTGCTGTTGGGCTGCCTCCCACTAGAGCAATAGGGGTGTCATGTGGCAAACTCTGTGCAGCTTCCTATAGCTCTTCATTGGTTTTATTCTACAGATACTCCTTCATTGCAAAGTCACTTTTTTAAGAGGATGAAATTTCACAGTAATACCTCTCACAGGTCAATGCAAGAAACTTGTTTCACCAAAGGCATTTTTCTGGCTCATCTAATTCTTGAAGCACAGAGCCAGCAATATGATCTGCCTCGTTTACTCTGTCTGTACAGTGGGAATTGCACCAGCTCTCACTGAATTGTCTGTTAGTGTTATTAAAAGCCTGGATAAAGATAATAAATTCTGTGTCACCTCTCAAACTCCTCTGTGACAGATTTCCTATAAATAACAATATGAGTATGCAATCCTGCTACAGCATTAGCATCAAAGACAAAACGGACAAATCAGATTGTCAGTTCATGATTTAGCATCCTCATGAGAAAAGCTTGTGCATGCCAGACAAGTGCCTCACAAGTTGACATTTATAGTTTGGGCCAGTTTTGATACATTTACCTTTACCCTAAACTGAAATGTATACTTGGAAATTAATTTAATCCACTGGTATGAAAGTCTTTCTGTGGCTAGCCTTCCTGGGGAAACAAAAAAGCTTGACGTCTTTGATAAATTCAATAATTCTTTCTGGATGAAACTAGTTTTATGTGCTCAAACTGAAACTTCTTAAATACTCCTCTGCTTGACTTAACTAATTTTATGTAGCTTCATTTACTTCCATGGAATAGTTTAAGTATCAGGGGGATTGGATTCATGGTCTGTTTCACAATAAGAAAATGTGCTTAGTTGGAGAAAAAGTCTTTAAATACATTTCCAGTACTAGATTATTAAATTATTGCTTTTCCAACAAATGGGCGAACCTATTCAAGTAAAACTTAATTATTCATTCAACCATTCAAAAACATATATATTGAGTGCTTATTATGGGGTAGAAACTGTTGGGCACTGAGACATAACAACGAACAAAAACAGATTTTTCTTGCTCAATAGACATACAAGGGCTTCCAAGGGGACATAAACATTAATCACATAATTACACAAAAGAGAAGTTTGTTACAGGCAGAGAGTACAGGATGAGGTGGATGTAAGTGGAGTCAGAGAGAGCTTCCAAAAGGGACCAACAAGTCAGCTGAGATTGGAGGGGTGAGCAGTTTCTAACCAAGGCAAGGAGGGAAAGAATGTGTACAGATGACAGTAGAAACGTGATGAGCAAGGATATACGGCCCAGTTCTAAAGGAATATCAAGAGCAACTCTGCTGATGCATGTTTCCAAGCCAGGCTTGAGGCTCGCACCAACTATTCAGGTCCTTGATCATGCAACAGTTGTGGTTTACTGGACAAAGTACTTGAGGAGGAGGAGCGAAAGACCTGGAAAAGTTGCTTTAATCTCCACGGTTCTAAGTCATCACACTTGCAAAGGGAGGTTAATAAAGTATACGGCCTGAGGTCATAGGAAGATTAAATGAGATCAAGTGTGTGCAGAGTTTTATAAACTGAGAAGTACGATACAAAAGTGAGGGATTATAGAAGATTATAATGACTAATACCTTCAGTATATAAACTACTTTCTGTTGAAAACAAAATTGGGTATTATTAAGGAGACACTGATTTGTTGTACAGACAGGCATAGTATTTTTTCATGATGCCATACCAAGCAGGACAGAAGCCAGGTCCTACCAGCTTGCTGCGTCTTGCATGACCAGGCATTCTCTGTTTTAAGGCCTTCTAGGGGATGTGCCTTACCTAAAACCCTGGCTCCCACACCAAGTGTCTGTGTAACATCAGCCCAGCCCTAATAGTCTATCATCTGAAGATCAGAGGTTAGATTTTTGCCTAACGCTGCAGAGGTAACCACAAAAATGTTCTGAAGTTTCTCATCCATAAGTCTTTGGACTAACTGCAAAATTTTATTATTGTTATCCTCACTCAGAGTCTCTCCATTATAGGATCATCCCCAGGCCATGGTAGTACCCAAGGGAAATTATACTGTGGAAGAATGTTTTAACAAAGTTATTGTGTGGTTACAAAATCAATATCAAGGAAATTCTTGACTAATTAATATAACTAAGGATGGAAAATTTCAAGAAGTGTAGTAGATGGCAGGTAGGAGAAAGGAAAAGTTGATATATCCAAAGAACAACAAGTGGCTTGAAGATTTTTAGAAGGGGACACTCACCCTGATCAGGAAATCAGAAAAGGGAAATTAGCAAACTATGGCTGATAGTTATATTAGCTCAACCTAAATAAAGTGGATGGATCATCTGGCGAAAGCGGATACTCAAAGTGACACAGAGAAATTCTTCTTTTCAGAAAGAATGCATTTCTGCGCTTGTTTATGTTCTCTAGGGGCCACATTTCTGCCCTGGGGAAGTAGGTTTTTTTAAGGAATCAGAGTGGCAAAGTTTAACTCTTATAGAAATTCCAGCCACAAGAGAAGAAGTCCTGTACCTCCATCCCCATCCCCTTGTTTTGCTTGACACCATGCCTCTGGGAGAGTCCAGTGTGTATTAGAGTTAGGGCAGCGCTTTTAGTGCTGGATATTCAACTCCCCCTCCCAGAAGAGTTTCCTCTGCTTTAAGGACACAGCCAGCATCACTCCACAGAGGAGTCAGAATAACAGACTGATCCATGGCCATGATTAAAGCATCTAAGAAATTAGGTGGGTGTCTCTGCTTGTTCTGAATGGATGGAAGAAAAAAGCTTAGGGTTACCTTTCCTTGGCACAAACTTGAGTTATGTAGTCATGCACAGTTGCATTCTAGCATTGATCAATGGTGATTCCAAGGCAGACTCAATTTTGTCTTTCAGTCCTGGGTTGAAGACCACCCAGGTTCTTATTAATGCAATTTTCCCACCATGAATGGCCTTCTAC